CACCCAAGTACGCCTAAGCATTTATATTTGTTTTAAAATAATATAAGAGAAATAACGATTTTAGTACTTACAACATTTTCCGCTCTTAAAATTTGTCCTGTATCACCTTCGATATCACAATCTACGTACTCGATATAATTAGACCCGCGGAACAGTAGCAGCGCTACTGTCTGTTCCAAATTCCAATATTCGAAATGACACATTATTTTGACCCATAATTCTGTCACCAAAGTATTGCGATTTCCCCAATTTATCAGCGAGTAGTAGGCTAAGTCGAGCTCCATCAAAAGTATCGTGTCCCAAAGCCCGTCTTCTCTATTAAAAATAAATAAATAAATAAATAAATAAATAAACATATTTATGAAAACATATTCTAATATGATAAATATAATTACTGATTTTCTTCTTCTTCTTCTCCGTCGGACCCGTTCCCAATTTGCATCAGTTCATTGGGGAAGGGATGGTCGGTGTCTTCATCCTCATCTTCACGATGAGATTTGCTAAATAATAATAATAATTAATTTTTTAAAAATTAATTATTATTTTATTATGATAATATAATACTAAACATAGTACCTTATTTCCACACGATTGTTCAGGATGGTCGTTAAAAACGAGAAAAACATTAATACAAAATCCATTTTATTAAACACTTCAAAATAAACTGTGTAAGTCGGAAAGAAAATAGATGTTAATATAGAAGGCGGATGGTGTGTAGTAGATGCCGCGGAACAGACTGGCGGCGAAGCTGTAAACATCAGACTGCTTATAAAAAATGGGTTTGAAATTTAATGACGGTAGATATTATGCTACGAACAATAGTGAGGCACGCATTAAACCGGTGACCACCGACAGGCACGGACTACAACACGTCACAGCTGTTCGTAAAAAAGTTAATCGTAATAATAAAAAAAAAAAAAAAAACAAAACGCTGACGCTCGATAATCGTAATTTTTTACGTTTGATCGCAAACAAGAAGTAATTTTTTATCTGTTACTTTATATTATACATAAACACTATGGACAAATCGTTCCTAGACGTGAGTGGCGCGTATGTAAACGAATCACCTATTCGACAAATGTTTGTACATTCTTTCCTACCATTTTCCGCGAGCGCGTTGGATAATGGGGACGAAATCCGTATCGCAATTCAAAATCGGGACGCACATACGCTACCGAGCGAAAGTTATATCTATATCGAGGGTAAAATAACGCAGCCCGTTGAAATGAAGACAGTAATAAGCTTAGCCCACAATGGGTTAACGAATTTATTCAACGAGATGAAATACGAGATAAACTCTATCGAAGTACAACGGGTTAAAAAACCCGGCATAACCAGTGCGATGAAGGGCTATTGTTCGTATTCACCTACCGACGCAAATATCATGCAAAACGCTGCTTGGGATATCACTAGCAAAAATGCTAATTTCGTTAAAGACGGTTCGTTCAGCGGATGTATACCGTTAAATCATGTTTTTGGTTTTTGTGAGGACTACAAGCGAATACTGGTGAATTGTAGCCAACAGTTGATTTTGAATAGATCAATGTCAGATTTGAGTTCGTTACATTTCACTGCCGTTGCGGGGGAGGAAACTTCTAGCACGTCATTTAAGACTATGGTGAAAAAAGTCAAAGTACAGCTGACGCGAGTGTCGTGGAAAATACCTGTTATTAAAGTCGACGATCGAGAGAGATTGAAACTGTTGAAAATCATTGATAGCAAAAAAATGCTAAATTGCGCGTTCAGGAACTGGGAGTTGTGTGAATACCCCAACTTACCTCAGACGAGCAAACACTCTTGGATGGTGAAAACATGCTCACAGGTGGAGAGGCCTAGGTTTTTAATAATAGCTTTTCTCACGAATGCACCCGGTACCGTGTCAGACGGTTATAACGTTGATTACGATGCGTGCTCACTGACAAACGTTAAAGCATATATAAACTCAGTGGAATACCCTTATGAAGATTTCAACGAAAGTTTCGATAAAAATCTGTTCACCATGTTCTATCAGAATTACGTCGATTTTCAGAAACATTATTATGAGCGATTTAACGCCCAACCGTGTCTCACGCGGGAACAGTATAAAGAGATGGGTCCATTTATCTGCATAGATTGTTCGCGTCAAAACGATGACGCCAAGACTTCAAGTATCGATTTACGTATTGAGATAGAGGCTGCTAATAATTTCCCAGCCCATACGTCCGCCTACTGTCTAGTCATACACGATCGCATTGTTCAATATAATCCATTTACGGGCGAAGTGAGAAAAATATAATTCATGTACCTATATATATATGTATATATTGTATTTATGTTTTTTCTTAAAATGTTTACTATTATTTTATGATTGAATTATAATAATAATAATAATAATTATAATATATAATATGTATCGTACGATATCTGATATCCGTATTAATAATGTTTGTGGAATAAATAATAATAATAATAAATATAACGCGTTTTGTTTTTTCTATATAATATTATAATATATTATACAGTGATTTTGACAGAGTATGTATGTATGTATATAGTTAATAGTTATAGGTATAGAAATCTTATTTTACAATAATACAAGCAACGTGCAATAATATGAATGCGACGTTGTGTGACAATATAACAACGTATACATATATATATATATTATATTATGTCTAGTCGACTATATTTCCTATATCCCTGGCGCCAGCGGTTGAATGAATCGTGTGGAATTCGGTGTGAATAATATGAATGCGACGTTGTGTGACAATATAACAACGTAAACATATATATATATATTATATTATGTCTAGTCGACTATATTTCCTATATCCCTGGCGCCAGCGGTTGAATGAATCGTGTGGAATTCGGTGTGGACAACAGCACATCAATAGTTTGTATAAGAAAACATCGCTGACCCGTCAATTTCTTCGAGTCTGATCGGCTGCAAAAATAACGTACGACATATTTTAATTTATAATATAGCATAATATAATATAATAATAATATATTACCCATTCGATGACGTCAGCGGTGGCTGCGGCGGCCGCGGTGGCGTCGATCAGATAGTCAGCTGTACCGTCTTCGCGCATTTTCTTGTGCCAACACTCGGCGAGTTGTTTGCGCGCAAACAATTTGATCTGGTTCGCGAAACAGTATTCATTTTTCGGGACGATATTCAGTGTCGATAAATCGCTGTGGATATTGCATATGATCGCTGTAATTTCTTCAACTGACGAGGATTTTTCTGCGGGTACATTTGCGTATAAATATGCGGCCATAAGATCAGTTTGTCCCATCACCATGTGACGTATAATGTTAGATTTTTGGGCGATAACCTCGTTGATAATCCACTGCATGTCTTGGAGCTTTAATAGATTTCGTCTGCTCAATAATACACGGCGTCCTTTCTGGCGGTGGGATTCGATTACAAGCATATTATTACCGCGATAACTAATTTTGCACAGTGTAATCGTCTCATCCCGGAGTAGCAGTTTCTCGAGGCTTTTAACCGGCGGATCGGTTATAATCGATAGAATATGTCCCATCAACGAGTAAAGGCGCCGTAAAAAATCGGTTGTTATACATACGAACCGCGACGGCGTGACTATCCTGATAGATACGTTGAAATCCATAGACGGGTCGAGTCCGATGCTGATAGTCTTGCGACTGATAAAGTCTATGACGAAATCGCTGGTATCGATTAACTCGGCGAGCGACATATCTCCGTCTAGTCGCAGTTGAACGTCACGTTCCGTCATTATTATTATTATTATTTATTAAATTTAATTTAACTTTGAAAAACAATATAATGAAACACACTTGGTGGACATCGAACAGCTGCACCGGGTATGATCCACGATTATCATATATTTTGGCATGCGAATTAAAAATAATAATTAACTTAGTTAATAGATCAACCACGGTAAGCGTGAATATGTCGTGAAATATATGGGGAGGGGTGATTCTTTCATATATACTAATATACTGCTATACTAGGCTATGTTTAGAGTATATATATATATATATATATAGTATGTAGTATGTACAATGTAGATAGTATATAGGTGCGTGCATAGTATATACATAGTATGTATATAGTATGTAGTATGTACATAGTATATAGGTATGTGCATAGTATGTACATAGAAGGTATATAGTATATATAGGTATATATAGGTATATACTATAGCATGTTCGGAGTATTTACTATATATATATATATATATACCGCGGGGGCCCGCGATGACGCGGGAGGAGCCGGATTACGTAGTTCCGGTGCGGGACGGGCGGGGGATTGGCGGAGTGGCGCAATATATATATATATATATACCGCGGGGGCCCGTATATATATATACCGCGGGGGCCCGCGATGACGCGGGAGGAGCCGGATTACGTAGTTCCGGTGCGGGACGGGCGGGGGATTGGCGGAGTGGCGCAATATATATATATATATATACCGCGGGGGCCCGCGATGACGCGGGAGGAGACGGATTACGTAGTTCCGGTGCGGGACGGGCGGGGGATTGGCGGAGTGGCGCGGGATGACGCGAAGTACTGGTGGGGAGAGTGGGGGGAGAGATTCGCACGATGACGTAGGGAAACGCGACCGATATACAAGCGGGGTGGGGCGGGGGTAGCGCAGCTTGGCGTCTGGTAGCGCGGTATAGGCTGGGGGTGAGGCGGGGGGCTAGCGCGCAACGTCACCGATGTATTGGGGGTGGAGGGGGAGAGGGAAGTGCAGTATAGGCGGGGGGAGGGTGGCGGGGTAGCGCAGACTAGCGCGGTATAGGCTGGGGGTGAGGCGGGGGGCTAGCGCGCTACGTCACCGATGTTTTGGGGGTGGAGGGGGGAGGGTGGCGGGGGGAGCGCAGACTAGCGCAGTATAGGCGGGGGGAGGGTGGCGGGGGTAGTGCATGCTAGCGCAGACTAGCGCAGTATAGGCGGGGGGAGGGTGGCGGGGGTAGCGCAGCCTAGCGCAGACTAGCGCGGTATAGGCGGGGGGGTGGTGAAGCGGGGGGTCACCAGTACCGGCCTTTTCCTACTACTTTTGTGTTGTCTAAAATTTCTATTTTGTTGTATATTTCATCTGGCAAACCCACCATTATTTTCTCGCAAATTTCTTCCTCCACCATGTTTGGATTAATTTTATAGCAAAGTTCCATCATATTTATTATAAATTCATTTAAATTTTCGTTGTCCATTAACTTTCTTTGATTTAATTGTATTCTAAGTAATTTATCATTCCCAATATTAGTAAATTTCTCTTTTATTTGTTGTTTAGTCTGTTCCCAGTTTATGTTTGGTGTTTTGGTTTTTATTAATTTAAAAAATATTGATGCCGAGTCTTTCAAGTATAATGGTAATAACGTAATTTTTTCTATTTCGCTCCAGTTATTTATTAAAGCAGCTAAATCAAAATCTTCTATAAAAGCATCAACGTCCTCTCCCATTTTTCCAGAGAAAATTTGGGGTTGATGGATCATTATTTTGAATTCCATTTTTGATTTTAGTTCGTTTTTATTGTTATTATTATTAATTATTTTAGTTGGTTCTATACAATTTGCTTGATGTATATCTGAATCGTTACTATCTAATGTTTTGTCTAGTGAAGTGTGACCCACCGTGGAATGACGTAAAACCGTAGGTATTGGTGTTAAATAAGTAACACGTAGATTACGTATACTAAGATTTACGATTTATTAAATTAGGCACTTGTTGTAATAATGTATATAATGCTTTTATAAGTTGAAATTAATACTAAATATTTCAATTAAACACAAAAGAATTAATATAAATAATTAATGTAATGAATCTATATAAATACTGACACTGAGAGAGGTTCTGATTAACACTATAATATGAGGTTCTGATTAAAAACTATAAAAGATGCTCTGACTAGTAACGCGGGTGTTGCTCACACTTTGGACCTTCCAAGACTGCCGTCCGCCGGGCGAGGCCCGCCGCAACGGTCCGTCCGGGTCTCTAAGAATGTGCTGACCCAGCCCTTTCGGTCACGTAGACCATCGTGAGAACCGAATCGTTCACACACTCGACTTAGCCCGAGTCAACACATTTATCCCTATATATGTATTACATATATACACATATGTCATATATACATACATACATACATACATACATACATACATACATACATACATACACATACATACATACATACATACATACATACATACATACATACATACATACATACATACATACATACATACATACATACATACATACATACATACATACATACATACATACATACATACATACATACGCACATACGCGTGCATGCATATACAACACTAGAATAGATGTTTTTTCGTCAGGACTTGAACTGTTTTGATCGTCTTTGCTTTCTGAATTTGTTATGACTCCTAAGTTTTTCGTTAAGTTATTGGATAATATATCTACCGATTCGTTATTTATTTTAATATTTTCCCGTATGATATTACGCGCCAAATCTCTTAATTGTTCCTGAGTATGGACGTCCGTTATGCCAAATTGTTCGTGTAAGATCGTTTGCAATCTATCTTTCTTAATGTATGGTAATTGTCCTAATTTACCATTGAAAAATATATCAAATTCTTCTTGTGATAAGGAAGATTCAAAAATATCTAATTTTTGTCGTTTAAATTTTTTATGTTACCTTCAAAATGTTTTATTCGAATTGCGTTACTAGCATTAAATAAAATCTGTATTTGTTCTAACGTTAAATTATTAAGAAATTCTAATAATTCTTCTCTATCAGCTTTCAATAAATTGAATCTCTGAGAAACCAATTTAATATTTTCTGTAGGATTTAAATTTATAGTCAGATTATTTTTTAAATACCACATTCCATTATTTATCTACCACTACTAATAAAAAATACTCGGTCTAAATAGATTAACTATGGTTAACTTTTTTATTTTATGTATATTTAAATTTTAAGCAATTTGTTATATTCTGAGTCTAACATATATACTAATTGTTACCTTAATGCTTAAAATCTATGCTTAATGTTATCATTCAAAAATTCGTTATTCAAAACTTATCTGGCTTATAATTAAATTTATTTATTTCACATTCATTTATCTTTCTTAAAACTTAAATTTTCTCTTAAAACCTATATAGTCAGTATGAACCACTTCAATTTTCTTGATTCAAAACTTTATTTCACTTATAATAATTTTTTCCTTTAAATTCAATTGTCTCGCTTAAAACTTAAAATTCCTCTTAAAACTTATAGTTAATAATACTCGTTTAAACTTCCTTTATTCAAAACTTTATTTCACTTATAATAATTTTCCTATTAAATTCGGTTATCTCTCTTAATACTTAAATTTTTTCCTAAAACCTACAGTCCGAATTAATCATTTCAATTTTTTTATTCAAATCGTTATCTTACTTATCATTAAATTTTTACTAAAGAGAAGAAAAATAAAAAATAAATAAATATTTTTAAACTACTTTAAATTATAGATTAATTAAAACCAAAACAAAATCTTAGGACTTAAATATAACTGCAATTATTACAGGTTACGGCGCCTCCACCAATATGTATCGTGGTCGGGGGAACGACCAGTTAAATATAAGATATCCAAGGAAACTCGTATGGATCCTACAGTAGCCAGGAGCAGATATATAGATATCAGGATCTTAACTTTATTTAAATTACTAGGATTCTATATCAGTTATAATTATGTTTTATTATTTATTAAACAATTTCAAATACTAATACTCACACATATATCAACTATGATTCTATTATACTAGGTGACTGTGTCGTAGTCCTACGGAGTTCAATAATCGTATTGTGTGATAAAGTTGAAGGTGCACAGTGAACTGACTTACTAATACATTGTGTGTGTTGGCCATAGGCCTTACAATTATGTGTGTTTTCTAATATGTATAGGTCAGCAGTTAGTCGTACATACGGTAGAGTTCGTATTATAATATATATATAGGTGTCATGTAACATATTTTTATTTATAATTGTTACATGTATATCTTGAATCACCTATTATTATTATAATTATTATTATTTGTTTTTAGATAATTGCAATATAACGTTTGAAGACGAATATGATAGTTTTTGTTTTGATGTATTAGATAAAGCGGAAATAATGGATTGTGCAAAAGTATTATATATATATCTATATATGTAAATGATATCATAAATATATATATTGATTTTTTTTTGAGCTGATAATGATAAGCCGGAAATGATTGAAATTGCCCCAAATATTTTCGTCGAGAATATACAAGCTGAATCTTCAAAACAAAGTCCATATTTAATATAAATATATGTATATTTTTTTTTATATAAAACTTATAAATTATTTAGGTAAACGTGTATATAATGAGAATTCAAATGGACAGAATAAAAATAAACGTATGAGGACGACTACATCATCATCGACATTTGTTCTAACAAAGTCTGCGTTCAACGGATTGTGCAAAGAATATTTAAAAAAAACACTGATGGTATTAAAAATGCTAGAAATTTTTTAGACCATTCAAAGCCGGAGATTTATGCTATACTAAACGAATCAATTGAAAACTCTCCGGTAAAGTATAATATTAAATTAGAGGCCACATATATTATACCTAGGTAATGCACATACGCAGTGTTGGGGAAGTTACTTATTTTTGGTAATTAAATTACATTACTAATTACTTATCAAAATTGTAACTAAATTATTTTTAAGTTTTTTTTTTTTTAATTTGGTTAAGTTACATTACTTTTGAGTTTAAAAAGTAACTGAATTGCAATAGAAGTTACTTTTTTCAAAAATATCACTGGAGCTTAATAATCATGTTGTCAATATAAGAATACATAAACTTAATAGATAATGACAATCAAAAATATGAAATTATTAACGGATGATACTTTTCTTGCAACACTATTATTATTATTTTTTTTATTGAATTTAAGCCCGGCAACTATGGCCATTAGCTGTTGTAGGGTATTATGAACTGTGTTTGGTAAGGTTGGTATGGTAAGGTGTTGTTACGGTTTTTACGGTTGTTACGGTATCTATGCAAACACGTGTTAGTTTTTTACTACTACGAATCCGGGCGGTCACCCATCCAGGAACTAGTAGCAGCGGGCGTAAGTTACTATCAGTCGTATTGCCAAGTCACACATTTATTTATTAATTAATTTTTTTTTTTTTAACTAACCCTCAGCAACGTAGAAAATTGGGTGGTTTTTAACCGTGGAGGATACTGTAGGTTTTTGTAAACACGTGTGTTTAAGCTTGGCAGAATTTCAAATTGGGCACCCGTAGGTGCCATGCCCGGTCGAGGCGGCCTCTCTCTCCAGACAAGTGTCTGCCGGAGAGAAGTTCAGCCCGTGACCGAGATTCGAACCGGCGAATTTATTGATAGTTCCAACAATGCTGTATGAGCCTTCCGTGACGATACAACACAGAGTAAAGATAAGAATTCCATTCTAAAAGTAACACTTTATAGTCGAATAGCCAATAGCTATAACAAAAATATTACAGTTTAGACAATTTTACCTATAAATTAAAATACTTATAAGTTATATTATGATATATTTTAATATTTACCTACACACAATATTATCAATATGTTCTAAAAAATTTAATAATCCAAAAAAAAAGTAGCGAGTAGGTAATTTAATAAAAATTACTGCAAAAAAGTAACTTAAATTACATATAAGTTACTTACAATAAAATGTAATTAAATTACCATCAAATTACTTAAAAAGTAATTTCGTTACAGTAACTTGTAACTTAAGTTAAGTTACTCCCGAACACTGCACATACGAGAGAAAATAGAGCATTTAAAACTCAATCTAGATCAGTTTTTAATCAGATAATGTTAACAATTTTTTAGAATTAGATTTTATTAAGCTATTACAAGAACAAGAAGAGATGGAGCTCAAGAGCAGTGGCTTTTCATTAGAGAGTAAATACGGAATTATATTCAACGTAAATGTATACAAACCTTTAGGAGGTTCGTCATATTTACCACTTCCGGCATTTATAGAGAGGAAAAAAGCGACGATTAATGTTCTGAACTTTGATGAAAAATGTTTTAAATATACAATTTTAGCTAAACTAGTAAATCCTGTTCATGCTAAAAGAATATGATCTAATTATGTTGAAGTAGAGAACAGATATGATTTTAAAAATATAAATTATCCTGCTTCATTAAACGATGTAGTAAAATTTGAAAAAACAAATAAAGTTTCTGTTAATATATATTGTAGTTTAAAAAACGGAGAGCTCAAATATAAAGTAACGTAAAAAAAAATCAAAAAGAATAAATTATACCACAACAAAGCCTGAACAAACTATAGTTTATCCAATAAAAGTATGCGAGGAAGAACTTGATGATCACCATAATTTATTATTATTTGGAGATGGCACGGGAAACAACATTATTGTCGTATAACAAATTTGGCAAAGTTAATTGGAGCGCA